TGACCTCAGCACCAAAGATGGGAGAACCCGACCCGGAGCCCCCATGCCTTGCTTTCTCAGCCTGGACTTATGTAGCGCTTTTTTAAAGTCAGCTGACTTGACCAAAGCACTTTACAATACACTCAGTCATTTACCCATCCATGCACACACTCACACCCTGATGGTGGCAAGCTACATTTTAGCCACAGCTGCCCTGGGGCTCACTGACAGAAGCGAGGCTGCCGTACACTGGCAACACTGGACCCTCTGACCATCCTCAGTAGACAATGCAGGTGAAGTGTCTTGCCCAAGGACACAACAACACTGAAAGCCAGAGCCGAGACTTGATGCATCAATCCTTTGATTTCAAACTCCTACACCCAACACCACTGTCACCCCAAGTACTCCGCCCAATGACATACGACGTCCTGAGTCGAGGTCAGCAGCACACCACCCCACTATAGTGTTGGTACTGCAATGCTTCCACCTCCTGAGATGCCGGATTGTGTACCAGAATTGCTTCGAAGCCGTGGTTCTGGACAGTTAGAGTTACTTAGATACAGAGATATCACAGAAAAAAACAACTTAATTCAGAGATTGCCAGAAGAGCAACAACCCTGCTCAGTAGTCAACACAGGAAGGGAACATAATACGTCTCAGCAGCAGCAGCAGAAGAACCCTACTTATATGCCATGCTGACACCTTGCAGGGTCAGCCTCTACTGGGTGGTGTGCATTACCACTCCACGAGGGGCCTGTCAAAATTTGGGCTGCATTGACAGGGAACCGCTGGTGTCCATCTGCGTAGCAGCCTCCTGGTCGGTGCCGAGCACCTTCACCAGTTTCACCAAGGGCTAGTGTTTTTTTCCCCCTTTTTTTGGCATACGTCATTCAGTGCTTAAAGCACTGCTTCTAGCGTTCAGCAGGGATGTGATCAGACACAGGTTACATTTATTTACTTGGTTCAGTGAATGCTGGATGACTGCCAGAGCGTCCGGTCCCTCGGTCTAGCGAGAACATGTAGGGACTGAAGTCCCAGTATCATGTTGTTCTATTGACTTACATTGATCACCGGTAAGTCACATGTTATGGAGGACCAACTCTGCCATATTTAAAAATAAATACAGAAATAAATACTGAATAAATATATAAGCATACAATTAATTGCCAACAAAAAATACAATAAGTAAATAAATGTAAGTATAAATTAAATTATACAGTGAGATATAAATGTATATAACTCTTTTAATGAGCTTCTTTATTTATTTGCCTTTGTAATATTTACCTTATTTATTTTTTTGTCCTTTATATTTTTTTTTACATTTCTGCCTTCCCTTTTTCCATTTCCGCCTTCCCTTTTTACATTTCTGCCTGCCCTTTTTACATTTCTGTTTGCATTTCTGCATCATTATGCAAATGAGGAGGGGGTGTGTCCTAAAGAGTTAATTTATGCTGATTGGTTGGCGGCCCATCTACTTCACTCACAGAGCTCAGAGTACTAAGTTAAATTTTCTCTTTTCTGTTGCTGTTGTTCAATAAAAGTATGTTTAAGATTATTTGAAGCGAGAACATTATACTTTTAAGCATCACCATATGGCCCACTCACAGATTTAATGCGTAATTTAAAAGAAAATGTTCCGAACTTGAGAGGACTGCGGCAACCAGCGGAGCTGCAAACACGGTGTTGAGGTTCCTGCACAGAGAGTCCCAGATGCTGTATTTGGGGTTGGAGGACAGGCAGGAAAATCGGAACCGAGCAAGTGAATGCAGGCAGGAAAATCCAGAGGACAAAAGATGATGTCGGTGAAGTGCTTGGTTGTCAGGGCCAGTGGGTCAGAGATCAGGTTGAGGTGCAGAGGGAGAATCCAGGACCAGGAGTCTGGTCGGAGTTCCAAGTACGGTACATAAAGCAGGAAGAGATCTGTCATGGATCAGAAGACAGGTATGGCAAACAGATCAGATGGGAACAGGCAGGTTCAGAGGTCGAGAGGTAGAAAAGGTCAGGATCAGGTAATCAGAATACAAGAATACTAGGATTAGTCTCACCAATGCCTCCAAATAATCTGGCACTAATGGCTGGTCTAAAGGCTGGTTATATACTGATAGCTGCAGGTGAATAAGATGAGTAGCAACGAGAGTGGGGCTGAGGTGAGCAGGTGTGTCCGTGAGTAATCAGACAAGCAATCAGTGCCAGGATCATGACACCAACCAGTCTAACAAAGGGATCAAATCAGCGGCTTACCTAAAGACACTGATAAAAGAACAAGATAGTTGGCTTTACCCAATAGTTTAACCTAGTTTATGTATTACTACATCACTGACCAACTCATACTTCTACTTGATTGCATGACTACTGTATTCTACTTGCATGAAGATAAGCATGGATAAAAAGATGGCTTGTAATGGTTTTTAGTTATTGCACTACAGTTTTATTTCTATGCTGATAAATTACTGTTAATTATTCTTAATCTATTTTTCTGTCTCAGATTATGGGTCATTGTCATTTTGTTGTATGATTACAAATAGACAATAAAAAATTAAACAAATGCAAGTGGAAAATGATTGAGATCAGTAAATTAAGTTAAGGGCTAACTTAACTTAATAAATATATAAAATTCGTACCATATTTTATGGATTACAAGTCGCTCTGATTATAAGTCGCTCCAGAGTACAAGTTGCACCAGCCATGTAATAAAGAAGGAAAAGACATAAAGAAGTCACACTTGAGTATAAGACACATTTTTGGGGGAAATCTATTTGAAACAATCGAAAACCATGAGCAGACATGTGATCTTGAAAGGAAATTTAAATCAAAAATAGAATAGAGACAACAACAGGCTGAACAATTGTACAGTAGGCTAACTGTTACATGACATGTTAACATATAACACAATACAATATCAAGTTATTCATATAACAATAGCATAAATTACATGCTAAAAAGTTTATCAAACCATCCATGTCACTCCAGATTACTAAATCCAATGAAATTTTCATCCTTGTCACTTTTGAATTACTCCAGCAACTTTTATCTTTCTTTCTGCTGCTCGATTACTGTTTACGGCTGCATATTTTTCTACTTGCAACATGTAATCTGCAAAATATGATTTTCTTTTCCGTGCCATTTTGTTAAGTCCTTCTCAGTTGTTTTTATAAGTTAACGCCAACGTTAAAATGATCAACACAGGCCTAGGGCACCATCTTGTGGTTTAGTGTGAAAATAACACGTAAAGTCATATAATAATGTGTTAATAATTTCACACATAAGTCGCTCCAAAGTATAAATCACACCCCCAGCCAAACTATAAAAAAACTGTGACGTATAGTCTGGAAAATATGGTACTTATCTTCACAATCACATCTCTCATTAATAATGTTATTATTCATGCTGTTCTTTCTGATGCTTTGTCTGTCAATGCATTTATAAGGCAGAGTAATTTTACAACGTCATTATCATGTCAGGATGTCTATATCTAGAGTTGATTTATTAATCATTTATTAAAAATGCTTTTCAGTAAAAGTCAACAGCAATAACTCTAATAACAAACAATAATTTTATTCAAAATGTATTTATTAAACATCCCTCACTTAACAATAAAAGTTAACAATAACTCTCAACTCCCAATAACACATGATACTCAGCCTCAGCAATGAACAAAATAATGTCTGTTCTGTAGGCTATTGGAAAAAAAAAACAAACAAATGAGCTAATTAACCAAAAATACATCTTGTGTAGCAAAAATAACTCAAAATGTACCAAAAACGTACAAACATATCAATAGA